TAACTGTTGCCTTTTCCTTTTCATTTCTCCATATTTCTGTTAGTTGTTCTTCCTTTTTTCTCTCTAATAAATTTTCTTGTTTCTCGGTGTGAAGTTGCATGGTTTTCTTTACTTTCTGCTGTTATTTTTTTAAGCATAATGCTTCGCTTCATCTGCCTGTCATGTAGTTTTTCTTGACATTCTCTATAAAACCATTTTCTTGTTCTCTTCCTGCTTTTTCCTATTATTAGTTCTGCGGACTCCGTAATTGATTTTTTCCATTTGTTGCCACAGCCTTTCGATATCATTGCTCTGGTCTTTTGCATTTTCTCGATGTTCCACTGTCCCAATACTGCTACATCAGATTCTGTAAGTTAATAACGCAAATATAGTTTGCGTTATTAGCGCAAACGCGTAAAATTTTATAAACTTTTTTTGCATACATACTTTATTTGTGGTTAATAGACCTCTATCGTGTAAATCATTTTTTTATTTTTATATTTTGTTAAGTTTGTCTGTTTTATATTTTATCTTTAATGTATTAGTCCGGCCCTGCACAATATTATAATCTTCAAACTTCTCGGCGGACAGTTGGGGTGACGCGCTTATTTTTTGAACCGCTTCCTTGCCAAATCGGCTACCCACTCGGCGAAAATTGCTTTGTCTGTTTTAGCTCTTTAAAAAGAAAAATTAAGCAAGCCAAAGAATCCTGGCTTGAGAATTTATGTAAAGAAATAGAAGACCTCCAAAAAAAGCATGACAGCTTCAACCTGCATAAGAAACTTAAATATACTGCCAGAATTAGAAAACAGAAAAATGCTCACATACTTAAAAGCGCGGACAGAAAAATTTGTGATCACGAACAACAGTGCAAAGAATGGGAGAGATACATCACTGACCTTTTTTACGATGCTTCTAGAAAAAATGCTCCAAATACTGCCTGTAACAACCAGTTGGACAGAGGTCCCAATATACTGAATTCGGAAGTCGAAAGGGCAATACAGCAAGCCAAAAACAATAAAGCACCTGGACCAGATCAAATCCCTGCCGAACTACTTAAACTTTTGGATAAGAAAAGGATTGCCTGCTTAACCACTTTCTTCAACAAAATTTACAACGAAGGAAAAATACCAGATGATTGGTTAGAGTCACTGTTCATAACGTTACCAAAGAAAAGCAGGCCCACCAAATGCAGCGATTTTAGACTAATCAGTTTGATGAGTCACACACTGAAGATACTGTTACGAATTATACAAAACCGAGTATTTCTTCTATGCGAAAGTAAGATGGGTGATAAGCAATTTGGATTTAGAAACGGTCTAGGAACTAGAGAGGCACTATTCTGTATGCGCGTTCTATTACAAAAAAGTTGTGAATTCCGAAAGAATGTTTATGTTTGTTTTATCGACTTCGAGAAGGCGTTCGACAGAGTCCAACACAATACACTTTTCGACTGCCTACGGGCAGCAGGACTTGACCACTATGATATAAGAGTGCTGAAATACTTATATTACAATCAAGTAGCCTCTATCCAAATTGGAGACAGTCCCACTTAAAAAAAACCCATCAAACGTGGAGTACGGCAGGGTTGTGTTTTGTCACCCACTCTTTTTAATCTGTACTCTGAAGAAATCTTTAGGGAGGCTTTGGATGACAAACAAGAGGGAGTAAGACTAGGTGGAGAAGTAATCAACAATATTAGATACGCTGACGATACAGCCATTCTTGCAGAAAGTTTACAAGATCTCCAAACTCCATTACTAAATCTAGTCAGTGAAGAAAGTTATCGAAGAGGCCTAAAAATCAACATTTCAAAGACAAAGTGGATGGCAGTGGGAAAGATCCATATAGATCAAGGTCTGCTTTCTCTTAATGGAGAAGAGATAGAAAGGGTAAATCATTTCAAATACCTTGGCAACTGGTTAAATGTAAATTGTGACTCTGATGAAGAGATAATATCCAGGATCGAAATATCACGTAAGGCTTTTATGACCTGGAAACCAGTTTTATGCAACAGAAACCTGTCAATGAATATTCGTAAGAAGGTCCTGAAATGTTATGTATGGTCGATCCTATTGTATGGTTGTGAGACATGGACGTTAAAAACCACAATGCTAAACAAGTTAGAAGCATTCGAAATGTGGTGCTATAGACGAATCCTAAAGATATCGTGGGTTTCGCACACTTCCAATGAAGATGTTCTTCAAATGATCAATTCAGAACGTCTGCTCATAAACACCATAAAGAGGAGAAAAACAGAATACTTCGGCCATATAATTAGAGGACCTAAATACCATTTACTTCGCCTTATAATACAAGGAAAAGTGAAAGGAAAGAGATGGATTGGTCTAAAGAAACTTTCATGGCTGCGTAATAATAGACAATGGTGTGGTTTCACAGTAGAAGAATTATTTCGCGCAGCAACCGACAGAGAAAGGTTTCAGGAAATTGTAAACATGATGACGGCCAACGTCTGAATACGGACACGGCACCCAAAGAAGAAGGAGTTTTAGCTCTTAATATATTATATAGTACAAAGTCTGTTTTTGTCCAAAAACACCGAATTTTTATATTCTTGTTACATAAATCATTATCTTACAATGTTAAACTAAATTTTTTATATATAAAATGTTATGTTAGTTTATTTTAATATTGAAAACAAAATCAGGATTTCCAGTAACAAAAACCAATGGAAAATGCACTCCATTAGCACTGCTCAAAGATGTTTCACTTACAACAAATCATAAATGTTTCAATATATTTACTCGGAGCATACGACGCGCCATTTCGCTGTTAATGTTGCAATTTGTTCCCGTCTGGAAGCTGACATTTTCATATAAGTAAGGAAAAACATATTGCTTTAACTGTTAAGACATCATCCACGTATAAGCTAAATGTCACATCAATATTCTCTTTTATAGTAAGCTAGATTTTTAAATGTTTTTAAAAATACTTTAAAAGTTCAAATCGTTATAAATTTAATTGGTTGATGGATTCGACCGTTACTTGATATAAATTCTATGTAACAATAAATTTTATGTAACAATAAAACACTGAAAACTTTGTTTTCAAACTTCCACAAACATTTATTTTAAATCTTATCACTACAGCTGTTTCGGCTGATTGCCTTTCTTAAGTGATGTACTTTTGGCTTGGGTTTACAAATTTATAGTCTCTAATGAAATAGGTTGAGGAGGGGAGAACTGTTTGTCTCAAGTTGGTCATTCAGAATTATATCAGTGTTTTTTAATTTGTTGATTTCCATAGATTCTAACAAAGATAGCTTAAGGCCTTTATTTTGAATGTGAAGAATTTTAAATTTGTCATTAAAAGAATGATTATGATCTAGAAGGTGAAGTGCGTATGTCGAATCTGTTTTTTTTATTCTTGAAAGCCCTTTTATGTTCTGCTATTCGTTTATCAAAGTTTCTACCAGCTTGACCGATGTAAGTTTTTGGGCAGTCGCCACATTGAAGTTTGTACACACCACTATTTAAGTGTTTTTTATTTTGGCTCTTGTTATTTTTAATATATTTGCCTAGGTTGTTATTTGTTCGGAAAGCTGGTTTTATTCCTTTCTTTTTTATGTGTTTGGCAATTTTTGTTGTTATTTTGCCTGTATCTGCTCGATTACTTAAAGTCATCAAGTTGTTGACTATATTTATCGCATCCATCGTATGTATCAACTGAGGAAGTTTTGAATTCCAAGTTAAATTCAGAATTGACATTTTTTTTATAAAGAAACAAATTAGCAGTTTCTACTTTGTGAAATCCATCATCTTTACATTTTGCCAAATATAATTTGTACATTTTATCCTTATTTAATTCGGGTCCTAAATACTTCTTGCTAGTTTTGTTACGTGTGTAGTGGCTTTCATAACAAGGAAATGAATCTATGCGTAAGCGCACCCTGTTGAGCGTCGCATTGCTTAATTTGTTAGGCGGAACATGTCTACCTCGCATATCCAGCGATACAAATCCCCCAGTATCATACTTTTTCAAGGCATTGCGAACCACAGGTTCCGATATGCCTAGTGTATTGAGAAAAAATACTTTGAAAACAATAACTTTTTGTACTGTATTACCTAATTTTATATCAAAGTTGTAACTTATGGTTTGTTTTCTTTAATCATGTCTGCTTCCGTCTTTAGGTCTATGACGATCTGCAGATCTGCAGTGAATTTGTTTACGCATTTTTTTCTACATGGTGCACAACCTGGTTTTATTGACTTTGCTTTTATTTTTTTACCAGACTTAGCAGTATATTTTTCTCCTGACTGAGTGGCTGCAACTCGTCGAGCTACATTCCAGGTTTTTATTTGTTTGATACATTTTTTTTGTTTTTGGAATCTCTGACAAAAGTTGAAATGGTGATGATTTAGAACTCCGGCCAGCAGTTTCGTGATTATTCTGTACAGCTTTACCTCTCTGCACAATTCTTTTTGCAATTTCCTTACCGTGCATATTAATATCGTCACCATCAGAACTATTTTGCGTATAATCAGGATCATCAACGCTGTCATCGTCATCCTCTGAATAGTCTCCAACAATTTTACTCTGACAACTGCTGTTAGCAATTAGCAGCTGAGATGCAGATATCAGTGATGCAGATGTACTGGTCTCCCCTACTAGCATGTCTTTACTACTATCTCCAATAGTTGTTGGCTGTCCATTGCCAGCATCAACTTATCAAGTTGTTGGCTGTCATCGGAAGACAAGCTCTGATCATTTTTACCTGAAACAATAGGCAATATTTTATTACAGGTAAAAAGTCGTATCTCCACTAGAACGGCGTATTACTTTATAAGTATAGGTTAAAATTGACTCACATTAATTAAAAAATAGTAGTAGCATACAACACTAGCATTGCATTATCAGTGAAAACAAGTTTAACAAAGATTTAACAGCTAAATACTAAAAGTAGGTATCTAGCCTTACTTTTTCTTACCTTGCAATACATTATCTCGCATTTCTATGAGGTTCATAATTTTAGACACGTTTGCACTAATTAATTGACGTTAATGTTTGTTTCTATTAGAAGTCATGTTAATTCTAACATTACTAGCAATAAAGTAAAATAATAACAGCAGTAACACGTGGTAATACCCTCACCTAAATATCATTTAATGTAGAACTGGAGCTACGGTTATTTACCACTACCACATTCCAAAGCATAGTATCGTGTACGCACGTATCTATGGATATACTATTGTTTACCTCAGTTTGAGTTGCGGTTATTTCTAAACGTCGTATCTAGGCAACTAATAATGCTGGATGTACGAGTCTTTTCCTCCAGATGCTATGAAAATCTGACAACAAGAACGTGGTCTTAACTTGATTTTGGCAAAAATTGGAGTTACGACTGTTTATTTCCACGGTACAGATAAGTTAATGGCAAATAGGTCTTCTCGAGTACCCATTCCATTTCGGAACCCGAACTGCGTCTCGCTAATATCTTCTTCTAGCCTTTTGTATATTTTCTTATGTAATACTTTCAGAAGTACTTTTAAAGTATGACTCATGAGGCTCAGTGTTCGATAATCAGAGCACTGTTTTGCTGCTTGTTTTTTAGGAATGGTTATAAATGCTGACTTCAACAACTCTTGTGGTATTATTCCCGTTTTGTACACGGCACCGTGTTGAATAAATCTGCCAATACTTCCAAGTTGTCCTCTTCCACTAGTTTTAAAAGTTCTACTGGTATTTCATCCAATCCAGCTACATTATTGTCTTTATAGTTTTTGATAGCATATTTGATTTCATCTATCGTGATCTATTGTCTCTTTAAAGGATTTAATTCTTATTTTATTTATTGAAACCTTTATTATTTTTCCATCAATTTGTATTTTATATCGTAGTGGAAATGTAGATTAATTATGGAGGGATCTATGTCCACCAGTGGACACAAGGAGATATAATGATGATAATGATGTTTTTTGTACTTATTTATGGCTGTTTTATTTGTAAAGCCATCAGGAATAAAATTTAAAAAATAATACTATGTACTTTACAGTTTATGTACAAACCTTAAACTTACTATAAGTTTTATATAACTCTCATGTGTCTATCATATATTCTAACATATTATTTTTTTTCAGATGCTCCAATCTGCAAGCACGACAAGGTAGCTATCGTGGGAGCTTCAAGGGGTGAAAGTGTGGACATTGTCTGTGAGATCGAATCTGATCCTCCGGCAAGAAGTTACCGATGGAAGTTTAATAATTCTGGTGAAACCATCGACGTTGCAGCCGAACGATATGCCAAAACTAGTAATGGAACTCACAGCATCTTGCGATATACTCCGGTGTCAGAATTAGACTATGGATCCTTGTCATGTTGGGCTTCTAACATCGTTGGGCATCAAGTGGAGCCTTGTCTTTTTCAGTTAGTAGCTGCTGGTAAGTTTATTTACAACAGATTTTGATTATTATAGAAAATACGTTAAGCTGTTAAAATTTAAACACGCTTTTCAAATTTTCTTGTAAATTTTTAAGATATAAACAGTGCCAAAAAGATAAATTTATTTACGTGTTGGTGTTCAGTGCGTGCAGATCGTTATGTTAATAGCTGATTGGTACAAGTTTAATTATCTTTGAAATATGTATAATGTTCAGCTCAACAGGCCTCAAAGGCCCAAGGCAACAACGGTTTTCTTCCATTTCTTTCTATCTTGTGCTAAGTTTTTCCAATCTTGTACCCGCAGCGACTTCAGATCTTCTTTTGCCGACTCTAGCCATTTTCTTCGGGGGCGGCCTCTTTTTCTTTTTGTACCAGCCTTCGTGTTTATTAATTCATTGGGAACTCTTCCTTTCTTCATTCTTGCTATATGTCCGAGCCATTTTAATCTTTGAATTTTAGCGAGTCTTGTTATTTTTGGTTGCCCATATATTTGCGTTATTTCTTCATTTGTTCTTCTTCGCCAGATGTTCCCCTCTTTTACACCTCCGTATATTCTTCTAAGATTTTTCGTTCTCATCTATCTAATTTTACTTCCAAATCTTTATTTATTGTCCAGGTCTTGCTAGCATAGAGTACTGTCGGTCGGTTAACCAAATTGTAAGGTTCTTTAACCAAGATGTTTTTCTTCTTCCTGGACATCGTTTTCCAATTATTTTTGTTGGCAGTATGGCTTGAAGAAGAGCATATCTGGATTTATTTTGCATAATATGTACGAAGAACTGTAACTTTCAAGATTAAATGGTGTTCAGTACCTCCCGGTTCTTATTCATTCGTCTAAGGACCTCCTCATTTGATCTGACTGACCGAGTCCCCCCTAAGGACTCGGTCAGTCCACTGGATATTAAGCATTCTCCGATATAGCCACATCCCAAAATGCTTCCAATTTTCTGCACATATCTTCGTTCAAGGTTCACTATTCAACACCATAAAAAAGGACAGAGAATATGCAGCATCGCAGCATTCTTACTTTTGTATCAAGAGAGAGGTTGTGACTCTTGAAGAAGGCTCCCATCCGATTGAAGTTGGATCTTGGTCCGATGCGTGCTCTTATCTCCTGGTTGTTGGTCCATTCTACATTTATTATGATGCCGAGGTAGTTGTAGTGAGTTACTCTTTCTACAGGGAATTAGTTGACATAGGGGTGACCTACTGTTATCCTTTTCTTGCTAATTATCATATGCTTTGTCTTCTTAACGTTTATATTGAGTCCATATTGTTGACTGTATGTCGTGACTTTTGTCATACGAACTTGTAGGTCTTCTAAGTTGTCTGCAAATACTATGAAGTTATCTGCATATCTGATGTTGTATAGATTCAAGATTAGAAGAGACATAATACAGCCTTACCTCACTCTACGCAAGATTTTCACAAAGTCAGTGTGTTCACTTTCAACTCTGAGATTTGCTGTCTGATTTCAGTACAGATTTCAAATTATTTTTAGATCTTGTTTGTTAATTCCTGTTTCTTTTAGTATTTACATCATCTTGGCGTGCTGTACTCGATCAAACGCTTTCTCGTTATTAACCAGACATGCTGTAATAAAAATCCTGCTGTAATATTCTTGGTCTATCATTTACCTGTTTTTCTAGCTTAAAGCTGTTATCTCTTTGGTCCTTAAATAGTGTTTCTAGATATTCTTTCCACGCTCTTATTTTACTTTGTTTGTCCAAGATGATGTTTCCGTCAGAATAAGATGGCCTAATAAGGACATCTCATCCTTTCTGCCTTCGCCTGAGTTCCTCTGTGGTTTTTTTAACTTTTCTATGTACATTGTGACTATCGTACTTTGACTGCAGAGTTTTAATCTCTTCGCATATTTTCCTTGCTTCTTTTTTTTTTCGCTTCTCTGATTTTCGTTCTTATATTTTATGGTTTAATATTTTTTTTCTGGGTCATTTTTGGCTTCTGTTCTTTCGTTCCATTAGTTTGAGAATCTGATCTGTCATCCATGATTCTTTCCTTCTGACTTTATCTCAGTGTTAGTGTTTCTGTTTTGCCATAAAGTGTATTAAGGCATCCTGTCAGTCTGTTAGCTTTTTGTACTTGATTTATCACTTTTTTGGCCAGATCTTCATAGCTGAACAGTGTAATTCTCAGGTATTTTATTTCCGTTACTTGTTCAATACTGATGCTACTTATTTTTATTTTACGTCTGCTTGATTCTTTGCTGGCTACTATTGTTTCAGTTTTCTGAGATGAGATTGCCAATTAATTCTCTGTAACCTTTGTTTAAGGTGATATATTAAATACTTGTTTTCGTTATTTATTATATATCTAATTCTGTACCAATAGCCATAGTTGTCGATGTACTTTATATAAATGAATTAAAAAATATTTACAATTTGCTGCCATTTTATTAAAAATTATAAAACTAAAGAACTAATAATTTTTTTGTGAGCATATTTGCATTTCTGGCGATTATTATTGTTAATTCATAAACATTGGTTATAAAATATGATTGTCATACAACTTTATTAAAAATTTTACATATAACGAAGTTGCAAGCAAAATATATTTCTGCACCATTCAGAATATAATGGGGCACGTAAATATAAATTACAGTTGCGTGAAATGAGCTGTCATCAAGATAGTAATAATAGTAGGATATCAAGGGTTAGCGCCCTCATTATTTTCCTTTCTTATCTCAATTTATTTTTTGTGCCACTACCGCCGGACGGAAAATGTAGGCCAATGTTTAAATGTTTTAGCTTATAGCGGGCAGGAAAATAAACTTTTTTCTCTGTTGCGAGAGTACAATAAATTGTTAGTGTTATTACAGCACCAGGTATTTGTAACAATTAAATAAGCCGAAAATATTTTCTAAAACATGACCGGAAAATAATGTTTCTTTAATTTATAAACTGCATAACCTTCATAATGTACTTTATAAAAGAGTGGAGACAAATTGCATCAAATAAACAAAAAATTTTTTTTGTTTGTTTGATGCCCAAGAGCACCTAAAAAATGTGGCTAAAAAGCAATATCTAAATATTAACCCATTAACGCCCATCGCCAAGAGGAAAACTGAAAATACCTAAATCCTTTAGTGGTTGCTTTTAATTATGATAATAATTATGTAAAAATATATTTTGTAAATTTTTTAAATTTGGTTTTTCAAAAAAAAAAAAAAAAATGGTGTACCCAACCAGGTAGACTGGAACAATTAGTATAAAATATGTAAAACAAATTTGTACATAACTATAGTTTATTTTATGAACGAGAGAGTAATTAGCATAATTTTAACTGGTACCTCCGACCACTCCATGGGCGTGCTCAAGATTAATTGAAAAATTACTTTGAATAATTGTAAATAATAAATGAATTATTTCAGTGTTATAAAGTGTTATGTGTATGTAAACAAAAGTGACCTCTTTTATCACACACTATATTAGAACTGACTGGCCTACATTAAAAAGGGTTTTAAAAAATTCACACTTTTTTTAATTTTTAAAAATTACAAAAGAGAAAAAGAGTTTTTAAAACCGTCTAAGGTATGTTAAATAGATGAATAAAAATATTAATATAAAACTTACAGCTACTTGTTACAAATCCAAATCCGATTCAGAAGATGAAGTTTCAGAACCAAGATTTATAATAACTGTCTCGATCATTTTATCAGTAATATTGTCCAGCTTCCACATTTTTTCCTCTTCTTTAATAGTGTGATTTACTGCTTTTTCCCAGTTTTAAGGTTTTACATTATTTACGGCCTCCAAAAACAACTGTTTAACATCATGAATTTTAAAAGTGGTATTTTTTCTTAAAACTTCACTCTTTATCTGTGCCCATACCAGTTCAATCGGGTTTAATTTACAATGATATGGTGGGGATCTAAGTACTGTCGTTCCACGATTTTTGGCAATTTCATCAATTTCGTATTTTTTAAATTTTTCTTTATGAAGGGCAGACAACGAATAAAGTTCCTTTCTTGTAGATCCGGGATGGTACGTATTATTTTTTGAACTCAGCCAATTCTGCAAGTCTTTTTTTAACCAATTGGTTGTGGGCAGTCCTTCTATAAGTCTGGAGTGATAACTTGCATTATCCATTACTATTACACAGTTCTTAGGAAGAAGATCTATCATTTGTTCGAACCATTCTTGAAAGACATTAGCGTTCATGTCTTCATGGTAGTCACCGGTACGAGTTGATTCAAAAGTTAATAAACCACCTTCAACAAAACCGTCTGAACTGCCAATGTGTACTATTATCAGCCTGCGTCCCTTTCCTGATGGTGGGTTTAAACCAGTAGATAAGTTATTTACAAAAGCGTGCCTTTGACTTGTAACAGTTTCATCCTGCCAAAATTTATTTGGTGTATGACCCTCGTTGATCCATGTTTCATCAAGATAAAATATTTTTCTTTTTTGGTTTTTCATTTCCTGTATGGTTCTTAGAAAATGTTTTCTCCATATGACAATGTCGCTTCTTTCTAATAAAATAGACTTTCTGGGATTCTTTTTCCACCGGAAGCCTATTTCTTTTAAAAGTTTCCATAACGTACTTCGACTCATTTCTTGGTAATCCTTATCATCTCGAACTGAGACAAGAACTTTATCCAATGTTGGAAATTCTTGTCTAAAGAAGAATTCATGCACTTTCCGTCGAAGTCTTTCTTTAAAATGATATTCTATTTGAAATTTTGGTTTCCCTGGAGCATTACGTGGCATTTGAAAACTACCACATTTCTCTTCTTTAATAACTCTGTAAATCGTAGATTTCCCAACACCAAGTGTACTGCTAACTAACTCAACGGTCTCATCAACACTTTCACATAAACGTTTGTCTGTAAATGATTTAAAACAATTAAATATTAATGTTTTTTCATTAACTGTTAAAGGACCAATTTTTCGGCGTTTACACGGCACTTCCAAATTTTCCATAACACTAGTATACACAATAAACCGCACCTTGCAACTGAAGTACCTACTTTTAGTGAACTGTTAAGAATTTTGAATACGCCACTTGGACCTTCCTACAAAATGGAAAAACCCACTATCACATTTTCTGTGGAATAAGTTTAGAAGGTAATTATCTAGTCAATTACTGTTGTAGATTCCTGGAATTAAAGAATTAAATGTTTGATTGTTGAAACCTTTACACTCATTTCAGATAAAATAAAACGTTTTATTTTATCTAAAGAATTAAACTTTATTTTGCAAATAGCTGGGTACTTATTAAACTTTTATTGGTTATATATAACCAATAAAATAAACATCTTACATTTCTTGCAAATTCATTAGTACCTGTTAACCTCCATCACTCCAACACTGACAACCTTATTTAGGGATTAGTAACCCTCACAACTATTGTATTCTATTCTGCTCCAACCTTTATACCTGGTGGTCATACTCAATTTAAAATTGTTTTCCTATATACTTCTGTAAACTTGTTGACAAATATCTGTTTTTCTTTGAGTCACTCGTATCAACAGTTTAGGGATTTGCATACATAATTTATTGTTTTATTACTCTCTCATACATAAAAATACACTATAATAGCAATATAGAAGATAAACATACATAAAGACCAAGATAACATTTAACAAAAATACATACCTACTTACAGTACGTTAAGTTTTGGATTAGATATTACAAACTACATAAAGCACTAACATCGGCAATATTGCATCATACGAGGTAATTATAACTTAGTATATCCGATACCCTTCGACACCTGACAGAAAACGAAAACCATTTAGTAACTCATAACAACGCAAGGAATATACATCTTCGTTCGTCAACTTTTGTTTTGCTTACGTATACACGATTCATTTCTAATAACCTAAACTCGATAAAAATATAGTAACCATTATAATTGTTTATATGTGATTTAATATATTTTTAGGCATTTAATATTGTAAACAATAATAACTAATTCCTACTAAACTAAGAAATAATTTTGTATGTCCCACAAAAATTATTTAAATATTTAACCTTTTACAGCTGAATAGTATCCCAACCTATAAGGGTTTCTGCTGTAACAGAATTGGAGACTTCTCTTATTCGGTTTTCTAGTTCGTCCAAATTAAATAAAGTTTGATAAAGTTAGGAAAAAAGCGGTACAAATATATACCATTAAACCATAAACAGTTAAAATGAATCTAATATTGTTATTTGAGAATTTGTATGCAGTTGGTTGTATCTATTTATTTTTTGTTTTAGGAAAACCTTTTCCAGTAAAAAACTGTAGTCTTTCCAATCAGACCAGCAGCTCAGTAGAGGTTTATTGTCTTCCGGCATTCGACGGAGGTCTTCCGCAACACTTCGTTCTTGAATTATATTCTTCCAGTTCTGCAGTACTTAGATTTAATATGACCTCTTATACAGAACCCTATTTCTTTTTGGATAATTTGGAGCCTGACGTAACTTTTCGAATTATTATATTCGCTATCAACATGAAAGGAAAGAGTGCTGGAGTTGTATTGGAAGAACTTACGTTTAGAGATGCCGAAAAACGAACAGGTAAGAATATTATTTTAGTATCCTTTGTCCATAGTATAACAAAAAAAAAACAAACTAAAACCAGACTATATATTATAAATTACCCATAATATCATCAATGACGACTGCAAACAATACACATGAATAATAGTAGTGAATTTTTTTAATTTTTGCATAAAATTGTATTATTCAATTTGATCTCTTATACAAATATGTAATGGAAACTCTTAGTGGAAAAGGGAGTACGTAATGTTTTTTATTTACCAATTTCAGCACGTTCTAAGTTTGGTGACACTAGTTGGTTGCCGTTATATAGACAATTTAGAGCTGACACTCTGCCAAGTGTATTGGCTAGTGTACTTGATGGTCTCTAAGTGAATGTACATAAAATAGAATATGTTTTTTATTTTGAAACTATCGTCGGTTAGATTATAAAACCTCTTATCTGAGTATCAATGGATTATTCACGAGTTAAAAACTATTTCTTCTTATTTTTGTACACCACTAATGCAACTGTTGAATTTTTTATTTATAAAATACAATTCATACAACACAAAAACATGCAAGGAATATAAATATCTCGGATCTATAGTATCTAAAGAAGGCACTACCAAAAGAGACATCGAAAACAGAACACAGCAGGGAAAAAAAGTGGTAAACATTCTAAACTCTCTACTTTGGTCTAAAGATATTAGACAAGAAACGAAATTGACAATCTATCGAACCTTGGTAGAGCCTATTATGACTTATGGGGCAGAGGTTTGGCAGATAACGCAAAAGGATAGAAAAAGAATAGAAGTAGTAGAAATGGATTTTCTAAGGAGAGCGTGTGGTATATCCAAAAAAGATCACATCAGGAATGAAGATATTAGAAGGAGAACAAATACTGTATATTCCAGTGTAGATAGAATTGAAACGAGACAACTAGTGTGGTATGGTCACGTGAAACGAATGAATGAAGATAGATGGCCAAAGAAAGCTTTAAATTACATACCACAACAAAGAAGAAGAAGAAGAAGGCCTTCAGTTGCCTGGGAAGAAAATGTACGGCACATAATGAGAGATAGAGCCATCAGAGAAGACGAATGGATGGACAGAAAACGATGGCGGTCGAAATGCGAGAAACGGCAGAGGCTGTAGGAACCTCGCTTATATATATATATATATATATATATATATATATATATATATATATATATATATATATATATATATATATATATATATATACAATTCATATCAATTGCGCATGGTAAATAATGTATTAACGAGCAGAAAGATATGATTAATTGACATTAGATAATAAATAATAAGGATATACCGTGGATCAAAATGTGGATCCGATCATCGTTTACTTATGGCCAACGTTATAGTTAACTATCGCAAAAACAATATTGTATATATATAATCCAAGAGATCGAAGTTGAAGAAATAACTTACGCAAAATAATTGAGATATCAACCGGAGAGTTAAGTAATGCCCTCAAAAGATCAAAAAACGGTAAAGCAGCAGAACCTGCACACATTCCAATTGAATTGGTAAAATATGGACCAAAAATGTTACATGAGATGTTGGTTAAACTATTTAACAAATGCTTAAAAGAACAAAATATCCCTGATGATTGGAATGTTAAATACATCAGCTCAATATTCAAGAAAGGGAATAAACGCAAATGCTCTATTTATAGGGGAATAACTGTTATTAGCTCAGTGGGGAGGTTGTACTGTCGAATAATAAAAGAAGGAATATAATCAGAATACGAATACATAGGAGAACAAAATGGAGCGAGAGGATATTATTCATTGGCGCCATAATTATTTGAGAACTATACGACGTTTGCGAAAAGACCATTGCAATATCATATATTTGGACGAATCGTGGGTTAATGTTGGCCAATCTATAAATTACGAATGGTGCGATACTACATAATACTACGACAAAACAGTCGTGATGCTTTCCTCAAAGGTTTAAGTACTGGCTTAAAAGCACATACTAAACGAGGTCCACGATATGTTTTATTGCATGCAGGTTTTTGGCGACTATTACGATGAAATGAATGCCGCATATTTTGAGTCGTGGTTTAATGAGACATTAATATCAAACTTACCAAATAATGGTCGCAGAAATGTCATTGTAATGGACAATGCATCGTACCACTCTCGTAAGGAGAGATTCGCTAACAATTCCTGGAATAAAGCTGCAATCAAGGAATGGCTAGTGGATGAGACATTTTTTTCGAGGAGTGTTATTTAAAATCTAAGCTATTAGAAGCAGCGCCTGCTTTTAAAGATCAATACGATAAGTATCATCTTGATGAGTATGCTTCACAACATAATGTTTATATTTTAAGGCTTCCTCCATATCACTGCGAATTGAATCCTATAAAAATGGTGTGGAACCAAGTTAGGCGATATGTAGGTACCCATAATACCACTTTTAAAAACGATGAGGTACGCCAGTTGATCGACGACGGTTTCGCACGCGTCACAGAGCAAAATTGGCGCAATTATGTCACTCATGATGTTGAGAAAACGGAAACTGAGATGTGGACTGCGGACAACCTGCAAGATGACGTAGACCAATTGATAATACACACGAACACAGGGGAGAGTAGTGAAAGCGAATTCGACATCTCGGATGTAGAGGACGACTTTAGTATAATTAATTGAATATATGTGAGTAACCTCGATTATTTTATACTGTATAACCAATAAAATGCATTTAGCAGTCCAATCAGAGTATGGGCTTTTCGGATATTGGGCTGAAATCGAGTTCCCGGAGGTTCCACCCTGTATATTTATAGCTATCAAGAAATGTAATTTAAAATATATTTGTTAGTTTATTAAAGTATAAATATAATATAATTTTAAATAGCTTACACTATAAACCTTATACCTGCTCATCTGGTCAAGTGTGGACAAGGAAAACCATTATCCCATATGGAATAACACAAGGTTTCGCTGAAAACTACCAGGTTGCTATGCCAAGGAACTAGGTGAAATTATGTTGTGTGTAAAAAATGCGAAACTGCATTATGTTCTAACAAGGACAAAAACGCCACTTCAGATTTCCACAAAAAAAATTTCATAGTAGGTGTTAAAATTTCGCAGTGATTCAAGTGCGCCACTTGTTTTTTTAATAACATCGCCGGGATTAAAAAATGTGCAAAGCTTTTTCGATATTCCCGTTCCTGATAATTTTTCACATATTTACAAAAGAAAAAGTTTTTCTTGGATATTGGGCTGGGTGCACGGAAATCGAGTTACCGCAGGTTCCACCCGGTATATTTCTAGCTATCAAGAAATGTAATTTAAAATACATTAAATTTTGTTAGTTTAATAAAGTATACAGTTTTATAATAAAATTCTTGTTAAAAACTTAAGGTCTTTCTATTAAAATTCATGAATCTTATTTGGCTACTTGAAGGCAATTATTTTATCAATATATTATTTTATAATAAATAACAGAGCCCGGCGTAGAGATCTGGGTATGGTTTTGTGACTACCACTTGGACGTGTTTGTATCGCCAAGCACAAGGCGTGAAATCCGGCAATTGTGCATTCCTATATTAGCCGTACTACACTCTCGGTGTGACATTTTCTATAGACAAGAATTTAAACATGGCGAAAATTCTAAAATGCGTTTTTCTCAGAAGTGATATATTTCAGTTACCTAGTTCTAGTTTAGGTACTAGGCTAGATGACTATATACCCAACAACCAACCACTAGTACATAAATATACATTTATATCGAGTTTAATTACGTTGTCTTAGCTCGGTATTTAATATCTTCAGTAAACAAATATTACATTAAACTCAATATTAACGAAAATAAAAAAATTAAATGGTTAAAGCTTAAATTTTTTCATATACTTTATTTGATATTACCCGCCTGCTATATTTTCATTATATCGTTCAAGATTTTTTTCAGCATACTTTTCCGTTATCGGTACGAAATATCAGAATCTCATATAAAGTCCCGCACATTTTTCAGTAAAAAATACAGCCGAACGGTGCGACGATTTCTCTTTAAAAAAGGGCATACATTTGCGTGGAAAACAGAGTTTTTCCCGCGTTTAAAAAATGGATGTTCCATTACTCTTCGTGAGTCTAATACGATGAGAGTTTATCAGTGCAGGTCGAGAATTACGTCGCAATTATTGAACCGAATTACCTATGCAGGATTGATTTTAGATTAAACCCTAGTAGTATTAATGCAGAGTTTTCAGTAACAGCTCGTTTGCTACTGATAAAAGAGCTAAATATATACCATACACCCCTTTTCAATAAAACCAGAGCTGGCAAAGTAGAGGCGTTTCCCATTGAGAGCTTTTACTCGTCGAGAACATTTCCAATAGTGGTAGGTCTTTAAAAAGTGCTAAATTTTTCGTTAGATCCACTAAAAAAATAGCTAGTAAAGGCAGAAAAACGTTTAGTGCACCAGACAGACATTTTATGCCAAATTTATTGTTAAAACGGAATAAATTTATGAGGCAACAAGATGTTTGTCTTTAGATGCAACTTTTCATTGCTTTTAGTAACAAAAAATATGAACGAAAAAAAAATATGCAATAGAAACAAGATTATGGGACTACAATGACGTAGAGCAGATTTTCAGAGATAAGTTAAATTGTACTTTACAGAATTATTTTTTATGTGTTGGTTCATTGATCCGAGATGGTATTAAATAAAGAGGGCAGATAATTTTTTGTGTTTATAGAGTAAATGCTAGAGAGGGCGAATATTAAAACACTATTTCTTTTTTAACCTTCGAGTGATAACGTATGGTTCCTGACACCGACGGTTTTTCGCGCAAAAACTCAAATTCGCATATTGTTTTGTCCGCGCGGCCAGATAGCTTTTGAATCCTCATCACGCTATTCAGTCTTGAAAAATCTGTGGACGAGCGGATAGTTCATATGTTACTCGACCTAACGATGTGAGCTAACGAGGTTACCATTTGTGTTATACTCAACGGTAAGTTTTTGTCGTTTTTGGTCCAAAGTCAGGATTAATTTAGGA